TTTGGGTCCAAGTTAGTTACAGTTCTATTTGTTCAAATAGTTTGAAACTTTGTTGTTTATGTAAGGATAACCAGCACATTGCATCGAATCACTGACTTGCTGCATCCACTCCTCCTCGATGAGCTCATAGAGACTAACAATCGCTTGCGTCGTGTTGTTGACTCTACGGCAACCCTGCACTGAGCAGGTAGCGGCGGAAGCTGTGACATGTGAGCGAGTCTTGTTTATATTCTGCTAGTGTCGAAAAAACATAATTTTGCAATTGCAGTGCTTCCATTAAACAAGAAATTAAGTTAAAATCGCACGAGAATACGCTCGTTCTCGCAATAAGTCCTTAAAAATCACGGCAGCAACGGATGTGAGCAGCTAAATGAGAACTAGTCATAATTCAGTCATGGGACTAGCACTCATCATCCATGAGCCAATCACAGGAGACGTCAGAGTCTTATTCAGGCGTTGGAACGGCAAGAACCTCATGCTGGGGTGCGGCAACGTATGCTGCAATTATAGTCCGTGATTTCACAGAAGAGCGGCGGATTCAACACGTCCAAATGGCACAAATCTTCTTATTCTACCGTGCTTCTATTGAGCAAATTTATTTTTGAAAATGAAATTTGTATGGTTAACAGAAACAGCCGGTGGGAAGAAAAACAAGCAACAAGACCTTAAATTCATTACATTTCCACTTAGTGACATGTAATTAGAAGGTTTTTGGTGCAATGGGAAATGTTTTAATGGCATTCGCTCCTGTGCGTGACTTAAATTAGGAGTTTAGACTATAATGAGGTTTTTGGGTTTAAGGGCTGAAATTAGTAGGCAAAGTTTGCAAAAAATAGTCTCCAAATTGTGGGTGAAGAAATCTGAACATGTTCAGAAGAAAAATATGTTTTTATGGACTTGCGTTGCTAATAGCAGTCGCAGTAGCCTAATCACAGCAATTAGCACATCCTACTGGTTGGCCTGCTTCCAACTGAATATCTTAAATTAGGAGATTAAGTCAGATTGAACATGATTTCTAAAGTTTATTTGAACATTTTTCCAGCTGATGTCACACTGAAGCTATCCAGACAGCGGTCTTGAAAACTGTTGCACATGTGAAATGACAGATCTGGACGCAGCTGCTTACTTACAGCCCAGAGGCAGCAGCTTCTTGCGTCATTAAATTAATTGCTTTTTTTCTGTCGTTTTTCCATAGATTGGATAGTCATAGATTAATAGTGAGGCTGCATCTGTGGTTTGCTTCCAGCTTGCACTGATGTCAACCCCCCACAACATGCAGGCGATGTGTGAATGCACGTTTGCGCACGCGTGTGCGTGTTTGTATGTGTGTGTGTGCCAGATCCCATTAGTCCATTAGACTCCTGCGCGTCTTCTTCTCGGTCCTGATGAAAACCAAAGTGCTGTTACTGTCTGCAGAGCCGGCACTGCAGACTTGTCGCCTGGCTAGTAAAGGAAAGGCCCGCTGGTGAGATGTGAAGAGGGGGAAAACAAGATGAATTGCTCTGCTGTGTGCGGTGTGTTAAAAGGCAGGTAGACTGTGCAGTTTCCCCTCGTACAGTCACTCACATCCCGAGCTACAAACATTTTAACCAGAGAGTAGGACTCACTCTGTGAAGCACGCTTTTGTCTGGATTTATGACACAGGATTTCAACTGTCCATATTGTAAAAAGACTCAAACAGAGGCGGGTGAGAACCCAAAAAAAAATTGTACTCGAGAGAAGCACAACTTCAACATACTTCTATCAAGTAAAAAGTACACATCCGAGAAATTAATCAAGCAATCAATATCAGTTGATAATTCGTCTGATAGAATATTCAATCACGTCACTGAACTTTTATACAGAATCCTCAGCATTCTGGGGAATGTAGGCAGAGACTTCAGCCTTTTAAACTCTCACAGCGAGCTAAAGCTAAAGCTAGGTTGGTGCCATCAACTAACTCACTCGCTCGTTGGTTACCTAGCAACAGCCCGTTGAGTAACTTGCGCAGCAGCAGTTTAAAGTTTTGCCATAATAACTGCTTAAAAATACACAACAATCTTGAAAAGTGAAAACTGAGGATAAAAGAGGAAAAGTTTGGCAGTGATTCAAATATTTAAAACAAAAAAATTGAATCAATATCGAGTGATATGAAACGATTGTATTTTGAAGCGTCTTTCAGCCATATTGTCCAGCCCTGCTAGTTAGTAAACAAAACAAACTCTGTCTGTAAACGGGTGTTTGGTAAAAAGGCCACTCAACTGAGTGATCAAAACATCAACAATTTCATTTTGGAAAAATCACATTATCAAATGGACCACAATATAAAGTTAGGTGGAAATCTTGATCTTTTAACAACCGGTGAAAATGATTAATATCACAAAGTAACAAAATCAGGCCAAATACACATTTTTCAACATCAGTTTCTTTCCAAATTTATGAAACTCCAACCAAGAGCTGAGGTGTGTGTCTGGTGAATGTTTGGTTAAAACATTCAGTGAAGAGACTCAGAGTGGGTGAAGTATCCAGAAATGTTCCTCACATGAGTAGTGCTGCATCATATTGAAGTTACTCAAGGTAGTTAAACACTAACCCCCTGAAAAATACAGTATTTTTCCAAAAAGTTTCAGTAATGTAAGCTAACTCTGGGCTCAAAGTGAGCATACACAAAGTGTGCGCTGTTGGAAAGCCAGAGAATGAGCTGCTTTTGGACTCAATGCATGATACACGAGCGGCTATCTATAATGAATGGAGCCGGGCCAATCATCTTATTAGCTGGAACTCCTGCTTTCTAAATGCATTCCCCAAAATAACACGCAGAAAAATGCGGTTTCCCTTCGCTCGTATTAGCAGGGGAAAGCGTTCTCCCATGAGGCGTCAGGCGCATAATAAAGTATGTCATCCCCTTTTTCCAGGGCTCGCTGTGCCACTGTGGGCTGTTGTTGGCTTGTCTGACGCTGGCGGGACGTGCTTTCTGAAGCCTGAGAGAGCGGATGCAGAGAGTGTCATGACTCATTTAGGGTTTGTTTTCATTTCCCTGCAACCGACAGCGCGTGATGTAACGTTTGCATGAGTCCGGCTGAAATCAAGCGAGGCCATTCCTCGAGGAGTCCCTTCCCCCTCCCCCTGCCGAGGCATCAGGGCACCCACTGACCACTTAGCCGCCCGGACCTTTACTCAATAACTCTTTATAAAGATCAATTAGCGGCGATCAGTGGAGAGAGCGCCGCTGGGGCCGCGGTGCCGTATTGAGCCGTTTCTGTGTGATGATGTTCCATGCAGAGCTTTTTCCAGAGGAACGGCGTCGCACCCCCAAGACATTTCACTTCATTAAAGGAGCGTTCTCCTCAAACCGGAGCCATAAACCCTGCAATGAACTACTTCTCTCTTTGTCTGTGCGTTGAAAAATAGCATAGTGTCCAACCATCAGTCTGCCTGAAAGCGCCGTGATGGAGGGATGGGAGCGATGCAAAGCAGCACGTAACTGTGAAGTGGGATCAGGCCACTTTATCATGACGTCCTTAAAGGCGCAGTATAGCGTGTTTTCCAGGCACATGGTGCTTTTTTATAGCACGATAAAGTAACTATGTTACCTCAAGTTGTTATAAAAATGCTGTATTTATCAAATATGACTTTAAAAGAAGTTTTGCTTGTAATTTAACGACTTGAAATTGGGCCTCTGTCTCTTTAAAACTCCTGCTCTTCCTGAAACTTCCAGCTTCAGAAAGTCAGGACATCGCTGCCCTATTAACCCTTTAACAGCGTTTCTACCTGCATTGGACTGAGAAGTTTCTCCTACAATGAGCTCAGCAGGTGCGCAGTTCCACCAGGTGTTTGCTAATTGCTGCTGGCTAGTCTGAAGGAGCTGAGTGGGGGAGTCGTGGAGGAGGAGCTGCGTCCTCGAAGGCAGTGCTACGTCCACCCAGGCATTTTGCGCAGGCCGAATGGCTGAAAGAATCAAATCGACACTCCAGCCAACTTTTGCGTAGCGCAAAAACTTTTCATCAGAAAACAGGAGTTTTTTTTTTCAAAATTAGTACATTTCTATCAAGCAAATTTATTTTTGTAATTCCAATTGCCGCAATTTTAAGGTAAATGGAGATGCAACTAGCACCATGATGTTAGATTATAGTAGGGCAAGATTGAATAGAGCTGATAGCTATACCTATTATAATCTTAACTTCATATTTCTGCACCTCTGTTAAAAGTTGTTGTTTGTTTTTTTTTTATGTCTTATTCTTGTTTTTTAATTTTCTTTTTTTCATTTGACTTTTAGTTTTACATTTGAAATGGGGATTTCAAAAAGGGAAAATTTGTGTAAAATTAGTCAAAAACAAAAGACTGCAACTGAAAGTTCTGAGAATGTTTATATAAGAAGAATCAGCTCACACTTTTCAATTTTTTTTCACTTTAGGAAGTGAAACCATGTATCATTTCTATTCCTCTTCACAAATATGAGCCACCCACTGTTTTTCTGCCTGGTGAAAAATCCCAGCAAAAGACTTTTTGTGATGTTCGAAAATGATATTTTTGCAAGGCACTGTGGCATTTCCTTTTCGTGACTAAAAAAATAAATAAAATAAAATGTACCCTGTTCACAGCCAGACTGACTAGAAGCTCATGTTTTCAGCTCGTTTTGTTTTGCCCGTCCACTCTGCCACGGACGGGCTTTTACTCATGTCCTACTTGTGCTGGATGCAGTGATGAATGTGGTTGTCATGACACCAGCGCCGGCCAATGAGCTCGCAGGTTAGCAGCCCGGCATGTCATGTCTGACGGCTGACTGACAGGCCTGCTGCAGAGCGAGCCGACCGTTCACCGTCTAACCTTTCTTCCATGCTGATTATTAATCCAACTTACAGCGCACTTCCCGTGTCCCTCCATCGCAAATTAACCTTTCTCTTCTTCTCTCTCCCTCCTCCCCTTCTCTGTCTTTTGTTGGGTTTTTTTTCTTTTTCTGTCCCCCTTACCTTTCGCAAAACCCTGTCCTTTGTCATTTCCCCCTACCCCCCGTCTCGCAGCAAGTTTGTTCACGTGAAAATTATTGACGATGAGGAGTATGAGAAAAACAAGAACTTCTTCCTGGAGCTGGCTGAGCCTCGCATGGTAGACATGAGTCTGCAGAAAGGTGGAGTACCCAACTTCTTTCTTTCTCTCTGTCTCTGTGTCTTACTCCCACTGTCACTGCTGCGGCCTCCATTTGCCTCATTTCAGTCCCTCTTCTCCGTTTCTCTGCCACCCTCCTGTGTTTCTAACGCGAGGTTTCGCTCACAACTCTGTTCTTTCACCATCCCGCCATCAGCATCTGCACAAGAAAGCAAACAGATAGTCCAGACGTCACCTTCATACACTCAAAGGCGCAGGCAGTCGCCGTTCTACAGACACATGCAGGAGTTATTTATAACTCTGGAGCCAGAGCGTCCATGATGAATGCTATAAACTGGAAGGATTATTCATTCTGCTTTTTTTTAGTAGGGAGAGAAACGATTCACTAGACTCCAACTAATGGTTTTATCAGAATGTGAAGTATTATTTTAATGTACTCATATTTTATAGTATCCTGTTAAAGAGAGAAGTACAATAAAAGTGTTCCTTGTGTTTCAAATTTAAAAAGAAAATAAAACTTCAGTATCAGATTTAGACGTTAGTAACCTTTTTTTTAACTGATTTCATTTATTACTATTATTCACTTAATTTTAACAAATATTTCTAACTAGATGACTTTTGAAGACATTTGGATCTTATTTTGACGAAGTATTAATTTTCAAAATAACACACATTGCTGTTTTTACATTTCTATTATGGTGCTGACTGCATGATAATAAATTAATTGCATGTGTTGATGATTGGTGATTCATTACCCCAACAAAGAAGTATAAATCAGTCTGCTCCCATTTATGGCCCTGGAGATATCTGTTTTTTGGGGAGACGTGGGGGGGTTTCTCCGCTCTGAATTGTACAGTCGCCCACAGCGTTCTTGAGTTGAATTGTTGGAGACAGTAAAGGCGTAGAGGAGGAGTAAGCTAAGCGATTTGTTCAGACAGAGTGCAAGATCAAGATAGGTAACGACAGGTGAATCTGTGCAGGATACATGCCAGTGGTCAGGTCCAGTCTCAGGGGTCAGACGCTTTGAGGGGAAAGAAACTGAACCTTGGTATGCTGTTTTTTGTTTCCCTGTCTCTTTCTTTTCAGAATGCCCTGCAAGACCTGTTCATTGCCAATCGATGCATGAGACAAAGAGTTACAGGAGCCTTTCATTCACTTCCATTTACACACTAATTGGCAGAATTCTTTGCAGTGTGTTTATTTTTCACACTCCAGTTTCAGGTGCATTGGAAATCGCTTCTGTCTGCAACTGTAGAAACTCATGCATCTATTCTCTATGTAGTAAATAATGTTTGTTACTAAAACACAAGGTCACGATTGCAGTGTTTCCATTGAGTAATACGTAATACGTCCAAAAATACCACCACAGTTTCCATTATGATGAAAAGCACTTTGAACTGCCTTGTTGCTCAAATATGTTTGATTTATTAAGCAAACTAATTTCCAAAATGTCAAATTGCACAATTGTGGTCAATGGAAACACAGCTAGTCTGATTTAAAAAAAAAAGAAAAAAAAAAAAAGCTATTCTTATTTAGTCCAAACTTAGCACAATTTGACACATGCTTTCATTTTCAATGTTTCTGTTCATTTGTGTATTTTTTGTTGTGAAATAAATTTCAAGGACTACAGTATTTTTTTAAAAAAAAAGGAGGAAAAAAAGCACCTTGAAGATCAACTACATGCAGCATTAGACCCTGTTACATGGATTCCACCAATCGGCACGAGGGAATCCATATTTCACAAAGTTTTGTGACGCCTATCACAAATTGTTTTCTGTTCTTAATTTGAACAAATATTATTCATGCTCAATAAAATATCCTTGAGGGGACGTCCCTCTCATTCAGAGCCAGACCTTCCTGTCCCAGCTGTAGTTCACACCCAGGTTTATTTCACTAAATGATTAAAATGTTACTCAACTGTAGAAGCAGAGCAACACTGCTGTGCATCTAATGAAAGCCCAATGTTTGCAGAGAATTATACGAGATACGTCTACTTACTTTGTGAATGTAGAAGGTAATGAATGTTTGATTTAGGTAATGAATGTTTAAACTATATACGATGAGGAGGGTAATGAAAAACCTCTTTTTGTGTAGCATCATATTTTATGAATGTGCCTTTGCTGATGAAATCACTTTGATGCCACATTAGAAGAAACAGAAGACGCTTTATTAGGCTCGCGCGCATTGTTCTCTTGCAATTACGCCTTCATTGCATTAATGACTGATAGAATGGTTTTATAGTTTTTTGATATAATGTAACAATCATATTGTTGTTCAAAACCAGTGATCTGCAGCTGATTGGGTTTGTTTTTCCTCTTTATTGAAAACAAAGTGGAGAGGCAAAAATTATGAATATTATATTAGAGGCTTTGTTTCCGTCATAGCAAATAGCCTCACTCCAGTTTTCTTACATCAGAAGGGGACTCTGTCATTACAAAACTAACTGTTGTTTACATACTGATTATTTCTTTGGAGAGAAGATCAAGCTGAAAGGAGAGCAAAGTAGTTATCAGATTGTACTTCAGCTCTTTGATCTGACTAGGCTTTATTGCTGTCAGTTACATCACTCCTCGAAACTCTTCCTGATTCGTTCATGGGATGGGATTCTCGGATCAGGTTCTGGCAGACGTGACTGAGTCCCAGGCAGGCAGGTCTGACTTTGGACAATGTGTGAGTAATGAAAGCAATCAAGGCAGCCGTCACCCTGACCTGTCAGTCTGGAGATGTTTACTGCCAGCTCTAGCAATGCCCTTCTCTAACTTCTGTTGAAGTGGTCAATACCATGAGCCCTTCCAGCGAGGCGGTTATGGCGGCCACTTTTCTGCTGCTGATGAAACCCAATACAGCCGAGTCTAAATGAGCCGCCTTACTGTTTGACGACAGTGCAAAGACGTGTGACGATCTGAACAGGTAGTCGCCAACGCTAACGCGTTTAATGCATGCAATTATTCTGAACGTTTTATGCGCTACCACCACATAAAGCCGATTAGTCAAACAACCTAGTTCTCTCCCGCAGACTGTCTCCTAGTTTACAGAGGTGCTTTATGATTCGACACAAGGAGCGATGAACAACAGCAAAAGTTTTCCGTGACTTGCTGCTTTCCCTGTCTCCAATTGACCCTATCACCCGTTACAGAAATGCAACTCAGTTTTAACACAAAGACAGTCGGTTTGCACTTGGACACTAAAGAGCTGATCCCTGAAGTAGAGAGGCACAGTTTGTGACCATGTGTCAGCAAGTATCCAGCTGAAGTGTTCTTCACTCAGACACCATATTCAGTTATGACTTCTGACACGTCCGTTGACTGAAAGGCGTCCTGGAGGCTTTTTGCTGCATTTGTTCGGATTGTTTTCCCATCCTCATGCTGCAGTGAAATACAAAGCTAGACACATAGTGGCACTTCTAGTAAATAGGTGCAATAAAGTTTCCCAATGTCAACCTGAAAATGTAGAATAAATAAACAAATAAAAATTAATACAAATTTGGATTTATTAAGGAGGGGGATAATTTTAGGATTTTTTTTTGTATCCATCCCCTGACTTATCCTTTTTAACCTTTTCTATGATTTGCTTGGAATGTTCTTTCATCTTCATGCTAACGTGGCAACCGAAAACGCTGAGTAAGCAGTAATTGGACGTTTGAGAGACTACAAGCATAATTTTGCTAAACCTCTTTCGGATCAGTAACTTCCTTCATTATACGTATTTGCATTTGTCATTATTTATATATATAAAATAAATTTTCACTTTGACATTAAAGGTTTTTTTTGTCGTTTTTGTTGGGCAAAAGAACCATATTTTGTTTATTATGATTTGTAAAAGCAAGATGAAGGGTAAAAACAACTAAGGGGGTAAGATTTTTTTGCTAGGTGTCCGATATTAGTTTCATTTTTCCATGAAAAGCCGAATCACAAGTAGGGAGGCTACCTAAAAGTATTTCACAATCAAAACTTTACCCTCCAAAGTATTCAATTGCCTCCCAGGCAACTGTACCCAGACAAGTCACTCTTCTAGCATCAGACGAACTCACGCTTGATGGAAATGAACTTGTTATTTTGGTCTGGCAATAGTAGGTTGCCTAGAAGAGAGAAGAGGCTGCTCTAACTCTTGAAATGCTAAAAACTCAAAGATGAGAGAATGATGAATTCATCAGTGGAGATTCCTAGGTAGACCTTCAAATGGCACAGCAAAAACACTGTCCTCATTCATGCTTCGAGTTTCGTCTTGTTGTTTTCAGTTTGTTTCTTACCATCATGTGCACGCAGCTAAAAACTGAACTCCAGTGAGAAGGAAGCATGCCTTGCATTGGAGAGTATATTCAGGCATATTGGATGGACGTTATAGGTGACCACGTCCACGCGTCGCTGTGTTTGTGTATGCATGGCTGTAGGATTAAAGGCCCCTTCCCGGCCCGCTCCTTGTGGTAATCCATCTCCCACTGCCACTTTCCATTCAAATCACGCCTGCCGTTGGGAAATGTGCCACCCGTCGGCTGCCTCTCTCAGTAGGAGCTCTTGCGGCTTCTGAGGGCACTTCACATGCTGTTGTTTGAGCCTGACCGGCTCCTTTCTCACAGTCCTCTTTCACACATGCATTCATTACCTCCAAATGAGCAATGAGTCATATTGTGGAGGAATGCAGCAGACAAAGCAAGGTGGAATTTAAGATTGCAGGCCTTTAGATAATCTACAATAGGGAGAATTGATTTGGAAATGACTCTGTTACATTATTATATTGATTGAAACTACTCAATGGCAAGGGCATGGGATCCGTTTATATGGTACAAACAATATCAGTTGCATTAATCAAATATGATCTTCATTGGTTTTTTCATAACAATTGGGTGTGAAGCGTGACTTTAGTTTTACAAGCCACGTCCAGGCACTGACTGATCCCAGGACTGTAAAGTCTGATTAAAGCCAAACCTTTCTGACACCACAAAGAGGGACGAAAAAGCAGCACATCAAGCCTCGGAGAGAAACAGAGCCGGTCATATCAGTAACAAAAGAACCCAGATCAACA